AAGTGATGTGGAAGAAACAATTGCTGAAGCTCTCCAAAGAAAGAAGAGAGACCGAGAGCTGGATGAAAATTTGAAAGTTGCTAAGGAAGCAGAGGAGAGGGAAAGGAGAAACAAGGAAGTAGAAGAAGCCTTAAATTGTAAAAAGGCCTTGTTTCCCTTATGGACGAAAGAGACACTTGTCAATCAAGCTATAGAGTTTCCATCAGTTTATTGGTTGGAACCTGTTGCTTCATTTGACTGTGATAACTCTAAGGACTCGCAGTTCGACATGCCAATTACACGAAAAGCATTCACGTTCCATTGCTTTGATTCGACTGCTGAGGTTCCTTTTCCTCATCCGAAGGTTGACCGTGAACTGATTGACTTCTATTTGAAGTATGGACAACCGCAGTACTTGACTTGGAGCGCCCAGAAGATCATTACAGTCAAGGTACTGAAACCGACACTTGCTGGGAGATTTATTAATGTCAATTTCAAGATCACTCGTGGTACTGCAAACACGGTGTCGACTATCTCTCTAGCAGACCTTCCTAATCTCAATCCCCATGATTGGATTCTGCTATATAACATTCTGCTCACTAATCCTATGGAATATGAGCCCATTCTAGAACATTTGAAGAGAATGTTAGCCTCCTACATCCATGAAGTTGCTGCTATGGATCAGGAGATAGCAAAGGTCATGAACAAGAAGCCAACAGTCAAGCCTACACCAAAGCCAGGAGATGTGAACAAGATGAAGATGGGCCAAATAGATTCAACACATCTCACTGTGATGTTTACCAAAGGCGAAGCTCACAGATTTTTGTTTGCTCTGGTTGATAAGCATTTGTTTTCCACAGACTGCTTGGAGCACATCATCAACATAATACATCGGTGCAAGCAGAATTCGGAGGCTGACAAGAAGAATTTTACAGACATGCTTCGGTGGTACATTACTATTGATGACGGAACGTCGATACATCATGAGTCGATTGTGGATGATGGAACGAAGCTACACTGCGAGTCTGGCAGAACAACATCAGGTCACCAACCATCAATTTATATGCATTATATGTGTATTAGAGTATGTGGTGGGCAACTCACTAAGCTTTATGCTTAAAGTTGATGATTAAATGTTTTTTAGGTAGCTCTGTTGATAAGGGAAAGTCCTAAGTATGACTGTATTGTACTCTCATTGACGTTTGATATTACGTTGAAACTTTCTTTGGTTTTAAAGTTAACTACGGTTTAACATTATGCTTTTGAAACCAAAGGTTATTATGATACGCAAAGAAAGAGCTTTGAATGTTTAAACTTTTTTTTTAAATGAAAATTGGTTTTGAAATTTGGGACGTTACACCAAGATATAAATGAAATCACTTTCATTTTTCCATACTTGTTGGTCAAAATCCAAACACACACACATGCATAATTCTTAAAAAGCTAGTTTTTTTTTTGTGAAATAAGAAAGATATATTCTCTTTTGAAGTTATATAGGATTTTGGTGCTTCAAGAATAAGAGATTGTGTATTGGAAAAGTGAACTAGTATTCATATGGTGTTAGAGCGTGTTGGCGAATATGAATTAAGGATGCCTTGCTTGTCTTCTTTCCATCATCAATATCCCTATGGTTTTGCTAAAATGACTACAAAAGTTGTGATTCTTCAAAACTCCTATGTGTGTTTTATTCTTTACATGGTCATACAAAGTTGATCATTGGTGTGTATAAAATATTTTATGTTGTTCAAATGTTTTTGCTTCTGTTGCTTAATCTCATGGTTATTGAAATCCAACTTTTGAACAAAACCCAACAATTTTGTCCATGAATATAACATAGATGTTACTTTTCCACCTATATAATGAGCAAAATATATGCTTCCGAAATTGTCGGACATATATTACGTAATGTATGAGGAACATATTGTACACGATATGGATTGAAAACATACTACATTTTGTACAATAAGAACACAATTGATGCGTTTGAAAATTAAATAATAATTTGCAAATAATTTCTCATCTAAGTCTGCCTATGTAATTATTGTGTTTAAATTTGACGTCAAATTGACACTCTTTGTTTAGAGATGCGATTCGCAAAGAAGGATAAAACACCTTTTGAAGTCATTAGATTAGCAATAACATTTTATTTCGAACACAACTATATTGACAATGTTTTATTAGGTAAAAAATATCTTGATGTCTTTGTTTCTTTTTTAAGATAATCTAATGTTTATGTGTATTTATGTATTGTTAGTAAATCGATTTTGAAGATCAATATCTCGATGTCTGTGTTTACATGGGCCTATCATCTGTTTTTTTTAATCAATTCAATAAATGTTAACACATAACATCTTTGTAAGAATCCCATACGTAAAACTTGAAATTTGAGTAAAAAATGAAGGAAAGAATTTTTTTTAGATGATTATTATCAAGCTTAATGGTAGACCTTAGGGTTCTAAATAATGCGTGATGGCAGCGCCAAGGTGTGCCATGGTGTCGAGACGTGGTGTAGACGTTCCGAAAACGACCTAGGCGGTTGTATGAAGTTTGGCGCCCAAATAACATGGTAAGGTACGAAAAAGACACATTTTTTTGTGTAACACGTTTTTTTTCTGGGTCTCCTATGGAGCCGAGGTTCCGATATTCTTTGCGAGTAGCCCGGAGTCATCGCGGTGAACGCCCGTGGCCATAAAGGGGTTTTTGTTTTTCTTTGGATTTTATCTAAGGATATAACATTCTTTTATCATGCTTGCCAAGTTTTTGAAAGAAGACATTTTTGTAAACTTTTAGTATGTTTGTAAATAAGTGACTATATGTTAGATTAAATGAATATTGACATGTGAAAACATTAGGTTTTTGTTAATATATGGTTTGTTTATATAATTGGATGATAGTAAAAATATATAGACATATATAAAATTATAAAATACAATAAAATTTTGCCATTGTCACATCTTGAAAAACATCAAGGCATTGTCATGTCTCGCAAGGCTTGAGGCTTGGTTGTGTCGTCAAGTTACGTCTTATGTTATTTACAATCATAATAGACATTATTATATTCGTCTTCTTTTTCTTTTTCGTGTATCACAAAAAAATTCAACTTTTTTTTACCTTTAATTTGACAAAGAGGGGTATACAATTCCTTTTTTCTTTTAGGAACTTTACAGAAAACTTAGTGTTCATATAAAACAAAAGGGGTTTGAAATGAAACAAAAAGAGATTAAGAAGCCACATTAGCATGTAAGAGACATCGACATGATACTAACCTCCAATAGAAACTGTCGGATGAATCGAAAAAAAAAAATAGAGAAAGACAAAACAATTAGAACCTGGACTCTTAGAATGGACTTGACAAACATAATGGCATGTTAATTTCAGCATCACCCACGTCTTCTAAGGTGTTGTTTGGTTTTTCAAAAAATCACTTCTAACCATTTTTTGTTGCGTCGTACAACACTTGGTCTTTCGCGGCTGTTTGTTTTTTGGAAGACTTCTAACTTAAAATTTTGTGTGCATGTGTTGCGTGACGCAACACTAGACCATCATCTTCAAACTATTTCTCATTTATTTAAGTTATATTATTCAATTTAAATTTGTTTTAATTTTTTTTCAACATGTTTATTATTTAAATAATATTTAAAGAATATTATAAACAATTGAAGTATATTTTACATAAGTTTAAATAATTTCAAAACCGTTTGATAAATTTCACATAAATATTTTTTGTGTTATATAGTCTATAACCAAATATTAATAAATTATAAAGTTAATCATTAAAAGTACAATATTTAATGAAGTTAACTGGAAAAAATTAATCACCGTCTTCAAAATTTTAACAAAAATGAACATGTTTTTAGCTAAATTAACAATTTTATTTATGTTATTTAACAAATATTATGTTTAATACTTTTTATATAAACATTTTTAAAAATCATATCACAATGATCTTTATATTTGATTTCCATATGATTAAACTAAATAAATTTTTTATTTAGATTTATTTTTAGCTATTGTATAATTAATTTCAGTTTATTGCAGCAGTCTGCAGATGTTAAAAAACAAACAGACTTTTTATTACAGGTTGTAGCCGTTTGGTTCACCTTTTCTACTGCAGATGGTTGCAGATGTGGTCCGCAGACTTTAGCCGTTTTCGCTTCAAAAAAGCAAACAACACCTAATTGATATTGATCCGAAAAAGATTAAGTATACCTAATCTAATGCATCTATTTATGGAATAAAAGATAGCGGGTGACTATTTAATTTTAATCCAAAAGTTGAAGATATCAAAATTTAATACTTCTTCCGTCTCATATTAATAGTCTATGTTTTTTTGGTTTGTTCCAAAATAATAACGTACTTCTAAAAATAAATATTTTTATACCAAAATACCCCTCATTTAATAAAATTAATGATAATTAATATTTTTTTAATCTGTATTTTTTTTTTTTTTGTCAATAATTCCAAACAATAATTTTGGAATGGAGAAAGTATATAACGAGTGATTTTTCATTTTAGTCCAAAAGTTGCATCTGTTAAAATTTATTATATGGGGTTTTGTTGTTTGCAAAAGACATCTAGATATTCCATTGTACTTTCATGCTTCTACCTGTAATAGCTTCGATCATTTTTATTCTTATAATAATAGCTTGGATCCGTTAATCAAATTCTAGACCAAGTTATGATATTAGACTTTTTTTTTTTACAAACCAATTAATGTCAACTCATCCTATTTTGATACACTATTTCCAAAGTCACCCTATACTATATTTACAAAAGTAACTCTTGGAACCTACAGGCGTTCAATTATCGTAATTAGATAAAGGTTTAACTAATCAGACTGTTGGGAAGTTAGAAGTAATTGGGTCGACTTTTCTTCTATAGCTAGAATGTAGATATTTGCCGAGTCCAACAATAAGACTTGCAAAGCAAGACACTTACCTCTACTTCATTAAATCCTTCCACCTTTCAGATAATTTGATCCACCCCACGGCCAGTTTTTTGCTCTCAAATTCAATCGAAAAATGGCCATCAATTGTAAGGAAAACCAACACCGCCAACCTGATTGGCTGACAGAGGAGCTCCGGAAAGCACAGCTAGACAACGAAGTCATGTTCGCCAGAAAACCATGCATTTACAAAGTCCCACAGCACCTACGTGAAGCCGACAAGAAGTCCTACACCCCAAGCGTAGTTTCCATGGGGCCTTACCACTTCCATAACCGCCACCTCCACCCCATGGAACGCCATAAATGGCGTGCCTTTTACCAAACCATAAATCGCCATAAGCATGACTTCAAGCTCTATCTTGACGCCATCAAAGACCTTGAAGCAAAAGCACGTGGCTCCTACGAGGGTGAGATTAATCTCAACAGCGACGACTTCGTTAAAATGATGGTTCTTGATGGTTGCTTCATCCTCGAGCTATTTAGAGGTATGAAAGATGGATTTGATACGCTGGGCTACTCAGAAGGCGATCCCGTTTTCTCAATTTGTGGCTCGCTGGATTTTATTCGCAGAGATATGATTAAGCTCGAGAACCAGATTCCTCTATTCATACTTGATGCATTAATAGCCCTTCAGAGCCCCGTTCGTGACACACACTATTTAGTCAAGATGGCTATCTCATTCTTCGCACCATTGATCCCAACCGATGAACCGGTGGACAAAGGTGCGGACTTTACCCACTTGGATCCACAATCCCATCACTGTCTCCAGCTTTTCAGAGAGAATCTGGTCAGCAAAGGGTTGATCGCACCAAAACCAGCCAAAAAGTTATGGAAGAGAAGGTTGAGTATTAACGTTGTGGGAAAGCCAACCACACAAGTAATCTATTGTGTATCACAACTAACAGAAGGTGGGGTAAGGTTTAGAATGTGAGTGTGTGATCCTGACATCAATAGCTGTAACTCCATCTATGTTGACAATAAGAACTCAAATGACAACTACATAATGAACACAATAAATGGTAGCAAGCTGTAACTCCATCTATGTTGACAATAAGAACTCAAATGGCAACTACATAATGAACACAATAAATGGTAGCAGTAGTAATTGTAGGCTTGTTTAAGTATAAATAGAGGCTCTAACTTCAGTTGTAAGACACCAAAAAATAACAGAGAGTGTAGTGTGTAATACTTAGAGTGAGTATTATTACCTAGAGGGTTGTTTATCTTTCTTGTAATAGAGTGTTATTTCGTTTCTTTTGTTCCAGTTCATATTAAAAGAGTTTTTCAACCCAACAAGTGGTATCAGAGCTTGGTTAAGCTCCGAGGAAGCATTCTTTGTTTTTTGGTCGAAATTTTTTTGTCTCAAAAACAATTTCGGAGTACACTGTTGGAAAGGTCTCGTTCCGAGGATTCCGAAAATATATTTTTTTTGAATTTTTTGACCACCGGAAGGCCTCCAAATCACCGGTCAAAGTTGGTCAAAATCACCGGAAAATTGGCCGTTTTTGACCACCGGAAGGCCTCCAAATCACCGGTCAAAGTTGGTCAAAATCACCGGAAAATTGGCCGGAAAAACCAGGTCGCCGGAGAAGACGGCACTGTAGCAGCACTGTAGCAGTGACGTCATCAGTGACGTCAGCAGCTGACCAAAGTTCTGAAAAGTTGCAGTTTAGCCCTTGTTCTTCCGAAAAGTGTAATTTAGCCCCTGTTTTTCAGAAAAATTGCATTTTTGGTCCCGTTTTTCAGAATAATTTCAGTTTAGCCCCTGTTTTACTTCTATAAAAGTTCTATTTGCCTCTTGAACTTCTGAAAAGTTCATATTGGTCCCCGTACTTCAAAAAAAAATTTCATAGTCGTGTATGCCCAAGTATATGCCAAGAATGACTACACCAACCTCGTCATCTTCTCAAGCAGAAGTTGAAAGTATTCAAAGGACCGCGAAAGACGGTAGTGTTATGTTACACTATCCAATGCTCACGAAGATGAACTACGCGGTGTGGGCCATAAAAATGCGAGTGAATTTACAAGCACAAGGAGTATGGGATGTAATTAAAAATGCAGAAACGGGAGAGCTCTTCGGCCGAGAGGTTGGCCGACTTATACGTCCGAGAGATTGTTGCTCGCCATGGGATTCCGGTCTCTATTGTCTCAGACCGAGATGTTAGATTCACCTCCCGTTTCTGGCAGAAGTTCCACGAGGAACTGGGCACAAGCTTGCACTTTAGCACAGCGTTTCATCCGCAGACAGATGGTCAGAGCGAGCGGACCATTCAGACCCTCGAGGATATGTTGAGGGCGTGTGTCATTGATTTCGGTGGGAGTTAGGATTCCCACCTACGTCTTGCAGAGTTTGCTTACAACAATAGCTACCATTCCAGCATTGGCGCCCTGCCTTTTGAGTTATAGTATGGGCGCAGATGTAGCACCCCGGTTTCTTGGGGTGAGGTTGGACACCGAGTAATGGGACGGACGGAGCTAGTCCTGCAGACTACCGAGAAGATTCAGCAGATTAGGCAGCGACTGCAGACCGCCCAGAATCGGCAGAAGAGTTACGCCGACAGACGTCGATCTGAGTTAGAGTTTCAGGTGGGTGATATGGTGCTCCTGAAGGTCTCGCCCTGGAAAGGTGTGATTCGCTTCAGGAAGCGGGGGAAATTGGGTCCCCGATACATTGGATCGTTCAGAGTTATTACCAGGGTCGGCAAGGTGGCGTACATGCTAGAGCTCCCGGAGGACCTTAGTCGGATCCACAACACTTTCCACGTTTCGCAGCTGCGGAAGTGCATTGTGGATCAGGAGGCAGTGGTTCCATTGGATGATATTCAGGTTGATGAGCGCCTGAATTACGTGGAGAGGCCGGTGGCCATACTTGAAAGGAAGACGAAAGTTTCGCGGAATAAGGACATACCTTTGGTGAAGGTACTGTGGGAGCATCGGAAGGGATCCGAGTGGACGTGGGAGCCGGAGGCAGAGATGCGGGAGCATTACCCGGCGTTGTTCATCGCACCAGACTTCGAGGGCAAAGTCTAATTCAAGTGGGGGAGAGTTGTAACGCCCCGATTCTCAAGTATTGATTTATGGGAATCTTTTTGGTCTTTGGGTCTACTCGACGAGTTGGTCGCCCTACTCGTCGAGTAGCAGCGTGTAACACCCAAAAATTTCAAACCAATTTAAACTTTTAAAACATGTCAAGTTCATCGAATCATTACAACTTTGTTTTCAAAATATTATTTATCAGAGTATTCCCAGAAACATAAACATAATATGAGGAGTTGTACGATCATGCCTTCGCCTTGCCGCGATCCCCTGATGTACATGAAACAATAAACTGAAACTGTAAGCCCGAAAGCTTAGTGAGTTACCCCCAAAATACCGATACACATACAGTCCACATAACCATGTCAGCAATAACATATCATAACAAACTGAACTTAACAGCACATAACGGGTCCACAGCCCTACAGACTGTAATACCCACGAGTCCATAGTACGAGTCTCCCTCAGCCCGTAACTGGAATGCTCCCGAGTCCACAGTACGAGTCTCCCTTAGCCCGTAACTGGAATGCTCCTAGGGTTTGTTGGCTACCGCACGAAGCAGTACAACCTCAACCCATCCCATATAACAAACACATAACATAACCACTGAGCATGCAATAATCATATAACATCACAGGTAGTCCTACAGGTCTACCTAACTGGCATAACCACTAGCATGCAACACTAGCTCATACTCAACATCTAACACTGCTAGGACAACATATCCAATGGGTCGGCCTTGGTGCCTTAGACCCCTTAGTATAGTGAGGATAACTCACCTTGCAACTGTCGTCTGAAACTAGAAAGCTTAACTCCCGGATCACCAACACGAACTCCACCACCTATAGATACCATAAAACCCCTTTTTCATAAATCTCCAAATTACCAGAACACCCTCAGAAGTCAACTGGTCAACCCTTGGTCCAAGTCAAAGTCAACAGTCCATGTTGACTCGACTCGTCGAGTTCAGTTCACCGACTCGTTGAGTCCTTCCTGAACTCGAGAAGTCGTGAAATCCTTGATTGGCTCGTCGAGTTCCCCTTTAACTCGTCGAGTTCATACGTGTCCAAGAATTGGGAGAAACCCTAGCCGACTCGCCGAGTCTTCGAACGACTCGCCGAGTTCAAGGCAATCTTCAACGGACTCGCCGAGTTGTTCATCCAACTCGTCGAGTTCACGGCCATCTTCATGTGACTCACCGAGTCAACCCTGCGACTCGCCGAGTCCATTGAGTCCTTTTTCCATACAGACTTGCTTTGAGCCATGCAGCGGCTCCAAATCACAGATCCAAGCTTCTAGGGAATGCTTATCACGTAAAGTTGCAAACTTTTACGTGCATGCATGGCTATAAAGGCTCTAAATGCCTATTTTAAGTTCTTAATGGAGCTTCATGCTCAAGAGGGACCTCAATCATGACCAACACTATAACTTTATGCTTCTAGAATCCAAGGAGGGTCCAGATCTAAAGTTACAACCTCAGATCTAGCCCATAGCTCATCTTTCCAACTTAACATCTCACCAAAAACCCTAAAACTCAACCAATAGAAGAGATTCACAAGGAAAAAGGCGATTTGGTTACCTCCAGAAGATGATAACTGAGATAAGTGTTGATTCCCACACTCTACTTGCTCCAATCTCCTTCTCCTCCAAGCCTTCTCCCTCCAAACATCCTCTTTTCAAGCTTCAAACACACAATGGGCACACACACACGCATATTAGGGTTTAAGGAGCTCTTAAAGACTGCAAAGAGGCCAAAGGAGGCTGAGGCTCCTTTAAATAGAGGTGCAAACCCCGGGATTTAGGGTTTCATCTGCCAGCTCCTACTCGTTGAGTCCCCATATGGACTCGTCGAGTAGGTCACTTAACGTGCGATCCCACCCCGCTGCTACTCGACGAGTAGGTCAACCAACTCGTCGAGTAGAGCTTCACCCAATAAATCTTATTTAAACAATACCTGAGAATCGGGGCGTTACAACTCTCCCCCACTTGAACTAGACTTCGCCCTCGAAGTCCGTTGGAATAAACAATGTCGGGTAATGCTCACGCATCTCCGCCTCCGGCTCCCATGTCCACTCGGATCTCTTCCGATGTTCCCACTGTACCTTTACTAAAGGTATTTCCTTGTTCCGCAGAATCTTCTTCTTCCTTTCCAAAATAGCCACAGGCCTCTCCACATAGTTCAGGCGCTCATCGACCTGAATGTCATCACCTGGTCCATAATGCATTTTCGTAATTGCGAAACATGAAATGTGCTGTGGATCCGGCTAAGCTCCTCCGAATGCTCTAGACTGTAAGCCACCCTGCCAACCCTGGCAACAATCCTGAACGGCCCAATGTAACGGGGACCCAATTTTCCCCTCTTCCTGAAGCGGATCAATCCCTTCCAAGGTGAGACCTTCAAGAGAACCATGTCACCCACCTGAAATTCCAGCTCAGATCGGCGTCGGTCGGCATAACATTTCTGCCGACTCTGAGCGGTCTGCAGTCGCTGTCTAACCTGATGTATCATCTCGGTAGTCTGCAGAACTACCTCTGTCCGACCCATCACCCTGTGCCCAACCTCGCCCCAGCAGACTGGGGTCCTACACTTCCGCCCATACAACAGCTCGAAAGGCGGGGCGCCAATACTGGAATGATAGCTGTTGTTGTAGGCGAACTCTGCAAGCGGTAGGTGGGAATCCCAACTCCCACCGAAATCAATGACGCACGCCCTCAACATATCCTCGAGGGTCTGAATGGTCCGCTCACTTCGCCTATCAGTCTGCGGATGGAACGACGTACTAAAATGTAGTCGCGTACCCAGTTCCTCATGGAACTTCTGCCAAAAATGGGAGGTAAACCTAACATCCCGATCGGAAATGATAGAAACTGGAACCCCATGGCAAGAGACAATCT